TATATATATTATTTTCAAAATAAAGGTCATGATTTTCATTTTTTACTTATATTTTTTGTCAATTTACTGGCAGATGTTTTTTTCTGTCTTTATTGGGTGTGTAAAGTTTCAAGTACAACTTTAAGTATTAAAAACAACATAAGTGATCCTAAAATGTTAATTAGTTTTTCTGTTTTCTTTGCTCAGCCATAGAAACTCTCCAGAAGTCCAAACTTACGCGGTGCAAACTGCGTGCTGTCCGCCTCCCTGTCGTTGGTGCACCCCCCCTGGTCCAGACGCGCGTCCGCGGCCGCGCAGCAGTAGCGCAGGGCGCAGGAACCGCAGCACACGGTGGCGTCTGTGGTGTCAAAGTCCTCCGGACACTGAAAGCCTTCATGGTAGTTCCCGTTAGAGTCCAACCAGCCGTGGCAGTACTCCCCCTGAGCGTCCGATATGCGCAGGTTCCAGGTCAGATATCCGAGCAGCAGGCAGTTCCAGATGCGCAGCATCCCGCTGAGGGTTCGGTTCCCCCTCCTTCCACCGCTTCGCCCTCAGCTATCTGGACTCTGGGATGAATGTCCCAACACCAAACTGGACCCCAATGCATGGAAACTTATGCCATGTTTGCTGCAACCAAAGCATCAACAGATTGGAAGCGAACACAATCCAAATATTTGGGTTTAAGTAATTTTTAAAAGTCTCATTTCTGTGGTGAGTTCTGGTCCAGATGGAGACTCGAAGATCCAGTTAAACGGTGCAAATCCGTCCGGGTTTGTCCTCCTGTTCTGTGGAGCAGGTTGAGCTCAGCCTGTGTGTGTGTGTGAGTCCACCTCTCTACTGCTGCTTTGCTGCTTTTCTGCTTCAGGACGCGCGCGCTCCCCTACTGGATCAGGACGTGCGCGTTCACGTGGTTGAAAAACATGCAGACATTCAAATACCAACACTTTGTCCTTATCTTAATTAGCTTAAGGTAAATGAAGAGGAATTTCAAATTAGCAGCTTTAAATACATGAAAAACATCTTTAATTTGATAAATTACCAAAGAAGCAAACATGTTTCCCCGCTTTCTGCTTGGATGAGGGTTAAACATATTGTCTTAAAGAGAGTAAAGTTATTTCCCTAACAACAAATTAATTCAAAAGAATATAATATCTTTTTTTCTTAGACTGATAATTATGTTTTATAAAAGTTTCAAAAACTCGTTATACGTTTTCTTAAGTTCATGTGCGGAGCTAGATGGGGAGCCAAGGTTAGCCATGGCCACCCTTAGCCAATCATTGGCCACCCCAATTCCAAGTGAATTTTATCTAATTATCTTATTTAAAGAGTAAAACTACTAATTCCATTGGCAAAACATCTCATTTACGTACTCAAATTAAGGGTAAATACAATTAATTTAAGGCATTTTTACTTATTTATAGATCGTTTTTCCAGTGCTTATCCACTTCCTCTGTCCCTGCTGGGAAAACAGCATTCCCACAGCATGCTGCTGCCATCACTGTGATTCACCAAGGAGTTGGTTGGTTCAGGGGGATGTCTGGCACACATTATAATTCTTCCTCCACAGTCTCCTGTCCCACTTGGAGTAAAATGGGCTAAACAAATGAAACCACAATTATAAAAGTTTTATTTGTTAAAAAGACAAAAGAAGGAAATTCAATTTCTGAAAATGTTCCTAATAAAAAGAAACGTGTTTATCACATCCAAAACACTTTGAAATGTGTGGTTGTGATGTCAAAAATGTGCAAAACTGAAAAGCTTGAAAGGTTCAAACTGTTGAAACTGAGCATTTTAAGCTTTGACCATGACCTGGACTGTAAGGTAAGTACTAATCTGCCTTTCATTGTGGGTTTTTTTAATTACTTGAGTCTAATTAGGTCTTTTTGAAACATATTTTGTTATTTATTTTTATAACAATATTATTTTGAACACCTTTCATGATTTTCTTTTCTGGATTTCTGAAGTTTTATCGTCTGAAATTAACAAAAAGCACACATTTACATCTATCCTCTAAGAAATGTTATATAGTCTTTATCTTATTGCAGCCATTAAATTCATATGAGTTGATAAAGCTCCAAAGGATCTCCTGGTCTAAAAGTATCGAGTTGGCGCCCCCCTGTGGTTGTTTTAACTTTTCATGCATGGGCCGCTGAGCAGCTGCTCTCTGTCTCTAACAGCAGATGAAAACATAAACTGTAGAAAGATATAAACACTGAGTGTTTCAGGTGGTTATATTGGAGCTGTCTTAAGGCCAAATGGATCAGATCATGGAACAGCAGTACATCTGAACACTGTTATTTCTATTTGGTTTAATTGAATTTTTTTTTTTTTTTTCAAAATTATAAAGTCTATTTGTTTATTCTTTATCTCTCTTTTTTTTATTTATCAATATAACTTTTTGGGAGTTTTTCGCTATATTTGGTTCTCTCTCATTTGGGTAGCTCCTGTTTGCTCCAAACCAAAATGGCCTCTGCCTTTTTTTTCTTTGTATGATTTATTTATTTCTTTATTTAGATTTCATATCGTAGCTCCCGCTGCTCCAGCGGGGCGCTGTTCTCGGTGGGATGCTGGCTGGCTGCGCGTTAGTCCCGCCTGTATCTCCCTGTGGAGGATCTCCTCTCTGTCTGGGATTGGAGCGCGCGCCTGTCAGTTAAGCAGCTCCGCCGCGTGCGTGCGCACGCGCGTGCGTGCCCGTCCGATTGTGTGAAAGGGAAAACCGGAGCCAGACAGTGACGCTCACCCATCAGCTGCCTGTCAAAGCCAGCAGCACGCCGATAAATAGATAAGCGTGCCGGTATGGAGGGAGAGATGCAACCCGCTGATGAAGGGCCCTGCGCCCCGAAGATGTGCCGACAGCAGCGGGGTCCGTTCAGCACCCTGAAGCCCCTCCAGAGCAGGCGCTCCGCGGGGAAGACGCGCTTTGACCGCTCCGCTGTGCTGGAGCTGCCTCTGTTTGGTGATCACTTCACTCTCCATCCCGAGCAGCCTCCTCCTTTCCAGCAGCAGCAGCGGGTGCAGCACCTCCACCAAAGCAGTTCTACCATCAGCAGCAGCCAGCAGCATCCCCGGCTCCCATGTGAGGCCAGGCCAAGCAGCAGGGTCCCCACATCCACCTCGGTGGCAGCAGCATCCCATGGCCCCCAGAGGCGCGTCTGCGGCGGATCGGAGCCCAGGTTCTCCCCAGACTGCTCCTACGGAATCAGCACAGGTGAAAACTGCTCCCTCTTGCTTCTGCTTTCTCTCTAGTTTTTTTTTTTTTTTAAGAGTCAATAGACTTTACCACCCTTCTTGTCATCCCATATCTACTCCAAGCTATAAAGAGAGTAAGTGTTGTCTTTATATCACCCATTTAAAAGGTTTTCACTCCAATCATCTCTGGGAGGTATTGTCAGGGGTCAAATGGGGGCCATCAGTCATTTGAGTTGGAACATCCAACCCAAAATCCACTGGAGGTTTTTCATTATAGAAATTATTTTACTCTTAACCTCCTATCCCTCGGCCAAAACTGCAGGAAAGTTAGACTAAACTGCTTTAAATCTATGTTTTTTTTTATTATTTTATTTCAATCGCTTTAAGAGGGGGACCAGATGAAGTTAGGGGCAGCTGTTTTTGTCATGAAAACAGGCTAAATGGTACAAGATGCCTCCACACTGCAAAATAAGTCATTTTATTCCTTATAATTAGTGATTTTTTATTTTTCTTGAATTGAGGAGGTTAGTGAGACACTTTGCCAAAGGAATTAGATAATTTTCATTTAAAATAAGAAATCATAATTGCATTGTCTTATTTCCAGTGCATAATATCTAATTATCTTATTTTAAGTGTAAAATACTCATTCTATTGGCAAGTCATCTTATATACATGATGGAATTAAGGGTAAATACAATTAATTACGAGATTTTTACTCATTTCTAGATCATTTTTGAAGTGCATTTTTTACAATTTCTACAAAAACTAGCAATGATGGGGAGGAAAGTTGGTTGGGAATGTGAGTGGAAATGAAACAAGCCTACAGATGAATGAAAACAGTAATAAGACTGATAGACCAACACCAGCAAACAAATCTGATGTAAATGAGAGTAGGAATCTGGGGGGACACCAAAAAGACAAAATTGTTCACTTAGTTGAATTGAGTAAAAAGGTCTATACAGCATTAGCAGCCAGGAGAAATGAAACCCTGTTTGTGTTTAGGACATCTGAGAGTTTTGACCGGCAGTGATTATTTCCAGGGGAAAGCTTGGGCCTCTTATGGGAGATTGCTGTAGGGAATAAATCTCTAACAGTTACAGAAAACCAGCAAACAACTCAACTTCCATGTTTTCGTTGTCAAGTGCAACTTTGCACAGAGTTAATACCTTTTACTAACTGGCTTTATGAAACATTAGATCTTTGTCAGGAAAAAATAGTCACAGTTTGTAAAAATGCTTCTTTTTCTATGTCAGCTTCTGTCTCCTTGAACCCCAGTCGGCCTCACCAGTCATACCGAGTCTGGTTCTGCTACGTGGTTTCTTCCTGGTAAAAGGAAGTTTTCCTCTCCACCAGGCTTGGACTGGGAACGATTTTTGGCCCTGGCATTTTTCCATCCACACCAGTCTCAAATGTGAAACATAATACGAATACACATTGTGGATTAACCGATTTATCTCCAAGCATCACACGACAACCATCACCAAGACTTTGGTTATTAACACAGACGCCACAGTGACTGCTGCTGCGTAATGTCCACACTTGCACGAAGCCAGCCAGACACTCACCCAACACATACTAGGTCTACAATGTAAGCCAGAGTGTTGGAAAAACACCAACAGAAAACAATACAATGTAGAGGAAGACAGGCAGTTCTTTAAGAATCAATACATGAAAACTCAGCGGTGTGTCGTGGCATGTGGGCAATGAAATGGAATAATGTAAACGGATGCAAAACCACATCATGCACTGCAAAATATTCTTGCAAAATCCATCCATCCATTATCTGACACGCTTGTCCCAATTGGGGTCGCGAGGGGTGCTGGTGCCTATCTCCAGCTGTCAATGGGCGAGAGGCGGGGTACACCCTGGACAGGTCGCCAGTCCATCACAGGGCAACATAGAGACAAAAAGGACAAACAACCATTCACACACACAAGGAGAATTTAGAGAAGCCAATTAACCTAACAGTTGTGTTTTTGGACTGTGGGAGGAAGCCGGAGTACCCGGAGAGAACTCACGCATGCTCAGGGAGAACATGTAAACTCCATGCAGAAAGAGGCCGGGCTGGGATCGAACCTTGCTGCAAGGCAGCACTAGTGCTACCCACTGAGCAGCCCATTCTTGCAAAATATTCAAATATAAATTCTGCAAATATAAGAGGGTTTAAAGAAAGCATTTTAGTTTTGTTATAATTTGGTTTGTTGCAAGGATTTTACAGTTTGAAGAAATAGAATATTACACCACATGCCAACCGTCACAAGGCTGTGCATGACAAGAAGGGCTATATATATTGCATGCATCATTTAGGTAGTTAACATTGTATTACCTCTTGAGCTCTTTGAGTTACTTACTGTCACAGGTAGGTGCTTCAGCCGGAGAGTAAGTGTTGGGGACGGTATATATTTAAGGAGGGCTGGCCCTCGCATGCAGAAATTAGGACCGGCCCACCGGGCAAATGCCTGGTATCACAGATTACCAGTCCGAGCCTGTCCATTGTCAGTCCATTGTCGCTACGAAGCATGTTGATTGAATCAATGAGTCTATGCAATCAACTGGTTTTCCTTATATAAAAAACTTAGAGTCAATTTGACTGAATGATCTGGTGAATTTTAAAGTGCCTTGAGATGACATGCGTTGTGAATTGGCGCTATATAAATAAACGGAATTGAAACTGAATTGAATTGATTACATATATTTAACAGAAACATGTGACAACAGTGACAAAGTTTAACCCTCCCCATGAATTTACAGTTTTCCAAGTGAAAACTGAGACTATACTATAGAGTGAGGGGTGGCCATCTTGTTTTATGATAGATTAAAGCGTAAAACTTTTTTTTTTTTTTTTTTAACAAACTGCTTCCTGACTATCAGGTCCCCCCGAACCAATGTTACCCTTTTCAACGAACTCAATGACCTTCTGTCTCTGATATCATTAACGTTGTGACCTAAAATGTTTTACCTCTGTGGTTTGGAGGCCCTCAGGCCACCTCTGCCATTTGATTCATTGTGTATATTTTGTGTTTATGTCCAAGATGCAGGCCACCGTAATAAACAGAGTCAATAAACTACAGAACAAAACCAGCATCACATAATCCTCATATTTTCCACTCCTTCCTTTGTTCCTCCTGTCAGATGTGATTGATTCACTAAAGTAATGGGAGCAATCGTGATTGAATCTCCACTTTATGCGCACAAAATTACACTCTTTGCATCTCTCTCCTTTTTTTTTCTCTGTGCTCCATTAAGGGTCCTCATCATCATCCTGTTGAAACATATTGTTCCCTGCTTTCATTTTTTTTTTTCTTCTCCTCAGCTGCTGTTCATTAGTGGGCTGCGTACAGGCAAGAAATGTGTTCCTCATGTGGAGGGCTGGTCTATGGGAGCCAACATTTAGATGAAAGCAATGAACCCTATCCTGGCAGTTTCAAAATTAAATATTAGACACAGCATCCTCTAATCATATTTTAATCTGCTTATCTGTGTATGCAGCAGAGGCTCCGCATGCTGTTTGTTGTTTTGTTTTGCATCTTTAAAGTCAAGTTTTCAGACAGACAGTGGGTGGCTTAAATAGATGCATAGTAAATATTTTTATTGCAAACATCTTAAAATAAGATGAACCTGCTCCTACTGCTTGCATATGTTTTTTCATAGTCTTCTCAGGTTAAATTGAACCTGCACACACCATGCAAGATGCGCCACTCTTCAGGTGATAATGATACATCAGCGTGCTTTTATCAGCTCAAATGAGACAGGTTATTTTCTTTCTCCTTGCTTTAGGGTAAAAAAAAAAAAGCGGTGTCCTTTTCTATGAAGAGCAGCAGCAGAGACCCTGGAACCGGCAATCAGTTCAGCACACAATAACCCAAATTGCATTGAAATCCTTTCTCAAAGAGTCGTGATTAAAACAAATGGGCCTCATAAATTTGCTTGTGTCGACCGTTGGTGTTTTTAATGAAATTTTATGAGGCTCTCAGCTCACAGTGCCACAGAGAGAGAGGGGGTCGTGAGGAGGTGGGTGCAGGGGTAAGGGCGAATATTATCAGACACATCTTCACGGGTAAACAGAGATAGCAGGCATATTAATAAATGCGACACATCTGCGGCAGCCTGATAGACACGTCTGAGCGAGCGGCCCCCGCCGCAGCGACCACCCAGAACTTATTTTGTCTGTTTGTGCGTGTTTGGTTTGCAGCTACATTAGAATCATAATCATTGTGTGGCCGTGTGTGCATTGATTACAATAAGACGTGCCCAGACTACCAGGGAAATATGCACCGAGGTCCTAATCTGGACTGTAACTATGTGCTGATTGTCTCGGTCACTGCAGACCCTGCAACCTTAGAGTTATTGACATGTGAATAAATCACCATAATCGAGCTGACATTTCTATGAACAAAGCAGGCCACAGAAAGCTTTTTATGAAGCACTTTAGCTAAATTAAACAAATAAAAAAAATAGAGGGGGCATCTTTTTTAGGAAATGAGAAGATCTTTTCATTCCTGCTATCTTTACTCTAAGGAAGTGCAGGACAATTGTTAGCAGGGAAAATTGCTAAGTTTTCAAATGATTTACAACCAAAAAGAGCAACATAATCCAGAAAAATAAATGTTTTGCATTTTATTTAAACCTTTAATATCAAACATCCTGCATAAATATTCACAACACTATAAGTTGTTGTTGTTTTTTACTACAACTACTACAAACTTCCATGTACATTACATTAGAAATTAGAGTGAAAGGAAAATGTTCTGATGAAGATTCTCAGTCATCCAGGTCATAGTCATTCCGTAAAGTTGAAAAAACAATCCACTGGACTTGGTTTCCAAGATTTGAAGACGTTTCACTGCCCCTCCTGGAAGCTTTCTCAATTCAAATGTCTGGATCTGCAGTGAGTTTGAGTCTTTATATAGACAAGGCCTTGTATTGCTAGGAAACATGCAAATGGAAACCGACGAGTGGGTCGTTTGGTTCCATTGTTAGCCTGTAATATCCGAAACCTGTCTATGATTCTGAAGGTCGGTCGTTTGGTTCCATTGTTAGCCTGTAATATCCGAAACCTGTCTATGATTCTGAAGGTCGGTCGTTTGGTTCCATTGTTAGCCTGTAATATCTGAAACCTGTCTTTGATTCTGAAGGTCGGTCGTTAAAGGGGGGTGATTGTCGTTAAAAGGGGATTGTCTCCTGTAATACCTGAAACCTGTCTATGATTGTTAAGGATTGGTCGTTAAGGAGGTATTGTTCACCGGCTGAGGAGAAGAGGTACTTTGTTCCTCTGTGATGGGGTGGGGGGTGTGGTGATATCTGGAAGGGATCATCTCTATAACTGAATTGTAAGTTTTTGGAAGCTGGAATCTGAGTCCACCACCTTTGTTTAAAAAAACAACTTTAAAAACAACTTTAAACAGAGGTGGTGAACTCAGATTCCAGCTTCCAAAAACTTAAAAGCCAGTTATAGAGATGATCCCTTCCAGATATGTTTTATAATCTATCTCTGATTAAAATTTGACAGTACAGAAAATGACAGCCAAAAGTGAACATGTTAAAGTCATCCATAAACCTGTTGTTTTGCACCGTTTTAGCAGTATTTCATGCTGCTTTCCCCCCTCAGCTAGAATTCTTGTCAACAGGTGAAACTAATAGCTTATCAAACAGACTTCTTCTTTCTCCTCCTAACCTCTTCCTCTGCCACAGAAAACCGTCTCATCTTAGACGCCTTCGCCCAGCAGTGCAGCAGAGTCCTCAGCCTTCTCAACAATGGCCGTCTCCTGGAGCCCCCCTCTTCCTCCCTCAGCTCTAACATCAAGCTGGAAGATGAGCGAGGAGATGCACAGGGGCTCCACTGCTCCTCACAGGGAAAGCTGAAACCCCAGGAGAGCTCAACCACCACAGATCCAGAGAATGAGGCCCAACAAAGCCATTCAAACCAGCAGCGGACCTCAGCGGTGCTCCGCATCTTCACAGACTCCCTGCAGAACTACCTGCTCCCTGGGCCTCATCGACATCTGAATGAAGGTGACCAGTGTGCTTCTGTGGAGCCCTGCTCAGAAGTGTCTCCACCCAGACACAATCTGGGAGGCTGGGGGTCCCCTGCTCCATCAGAGTCCTACGGCCACCCGTCTTCAACGCTACCAGAGGAGGAAGAGGAGGAGGAGAGCTGCTGCCCACGCTGTCTGGAGCTGGAGCAGGAGGTGCTGTGTCTGCAGCAGGAGAACGAGGAGCTGCGGAACAAACTGGAGAACGTTCCAGGTGCAGTAAGCATGCTCAGAGCTACAGATCCCCTCCTACAGGCTTTTTAAGACATCATTCTTGTCGATGGGCTGCTGATTTTCAAAGCTGATGTTGCCTTCTCTAACTCATTTTATGTCTTTGTAAATTCTCAGTCATCCGGTTCATTGCAGCCATGAAACAGACTTGAATCTGAGCCAACCAAACTTTCTCTAAGCTTTTCTGAAGACGTTTTGACATCTATCCAGGAGTCTTTGTCAATTCTGTTAGCTCAGACAATAGGACCCTTCATCCTCCGGGGTTGATGGAGTCTTTATTGCGCAGGGGTTATGTGTTAGGCCATTTGAATCATGATGAGTGTGCCTCTGTAATTTCTTTGGAATGAGCTCCAGGACTGCTTAAAGACATCAATGCTCCAACCACAGATTGCTGTAATGTGGGCAGACAGAACCAATGGAGACTGAGCAAAGGTCTGGTTGCCTCTGATTTAGCCCAGTTTTTTGGTTGCTCTGTTCACATGATAATATGAACCAATGACAACAAATGTTGCACAATTCTCAATTTAAACAACAATAATAAGAATCATCTATTGAAAAATCCAACAAAACATTCACTACGGATTGCAAATGAAGTGAGCGGCAAAACATTCTCTTTACTTTAAATCAAGGCATGGCTGCTGAAGGCACTGATGAAGCAGCCAACACACTCACGTTTGGGCAGAAAACATCAATACACAAACAGACACAAATACCAGTCCTAAATATCAGCAAGCCAGTCTTATCGGTCTACGTCTTTGTCAGAAGGGTCCTGACAGACAGTATTCAGATGTTTTGGAAAAAAGATGAAGCATTTGAATCATAATTCGAAGTGAAACAGTGTTAGATGTGCTATAGGTAGAGATTATAGATGACAAGGCAGCATTGAACTCTATGCTATTGGTAGAAATGTCAACATAAAGTCATTCTGATTGGATAAATCAGTTGAAACAGGAAACATTTTATATTTTCTTTTTTTCACACATTTGAATATTTTGTGGTAATTCTGACGTATGATTAATTAAAGGCCAAAATGATTCAGATAAAGATGTTAAGTAATGTGTCCATGTAATCATAGTTCATGACTTTGAGGTGTCAGAGAATAAATCTGTGATATGATAAATGCTTTATTAAAATTGTTGTATTTGACTCTCTGTATAATCCAGCTTTCATTTAAAGAACCCCGTGGTTAGGCTAAATATATGTTTTGATGATTTTTGATGATTAATTAAAAATCGTCTGTCTACCTGCTGGGATGACAGAAACTGCAGCTTTATCTTAAAATCAATATTTTAATAGATAAATTTTTTTCCAACCTTATCCATAGGGGAGAAAGTGCAGTGTAGAGACAGTTTGAATAAGAACCAAATCATATATTCCTAAATAAACTGCCTTTTACAAGTTCCTTCAAATGGCAGTAAATGTATTTCTCAAAATTCATTAGTTGATTTAAAGCCATCTAAGGAAATGTTTGCTGGATTACAACACCTATTATCTTTTTCTTCAAACATTCAGTATATCACTTGTTTTTTTTATTTCTATGCTTTTTTTTTGCAGCCCCCTGTCAAAGTGCCCTAGACTACTTTAAGGCGGTTCTTGAGTTTCACAACCAGCTGGCTCAGCCAATGCCAGAGGAGCAGTATACAGAGGTAAGAGATATGCTTGCGCTCATGACCGTTAAGTTTCATCAGTATAAGAGTAAAACATAACACCATATCCATCTTCAAGCAGTGTGACAATATGGATTTAAAAGATGTATCTCTGCAGGAGGAAGAACAACAAACAGTCTTTGAGGTCTGTTGTTTTAATCTGTGGACAATTCGTTAATTTCTCCTCACTTCCAAACCCCCTCTGAGTGACACTCCTCTTCCTTTCAGGGCAGTAAACAGCTTCTGGAGAACTACCCGCTCTTCATCACCAACAAGCAGTGGGACGAAGCCGTCAACTCCTCTAAGAAAGATGGCCGACGGCTCCTGCGCTACCTGATCCGCTACGTCTTCACCACGGATGAGCTGAAGTTTTCCTGCGGTTTGGGCAAAAGGAAGCGGTCGGTGCACTCAGGAGAACCGGGCCTAGAAAGACGGCCACTCAACCCCGTCAAAGTCAGCTGCCTCAGAGGTAGAGCTCTTTTTCTCCAGCATGATTATGTCTCAGACCATTTAAATTTCTGTTATATATTATATGACAATCAATCCCTGAAAGCAATCCAAAAATTCAGTAGTATGTTAAAGACACTCTGTAAGTGTTCATCCATGTATTAGTTTAACTTGTGATATATTGAAGGATTTTTTTTAGGTGAATATACAGAATATGGGGCGCATCAATGCTCTGTGTCAGAGCATTGATGTAATCTAGTTATGTGACCTAGAGCTCTGCTTTAAGTCCAGAACACACTAAATCCGATTTTGCTTCTGATCAGACAGGAAATCATGTTTAACAAACTTGTGACGTTGAACGTCAACGAGGATGATCACACCCGACACAATTTTATGCAAGGGGGCTTGGATAGGTCCGACTGAGATAGACCCCAGGTCTATTTTAGTCAGATCACGCAGCAATCCAGTGGCAATTTCATGGGTTTGATAGGCTGAGAGACACAGTTACAAAGTAAAACACATCCGCTTTGGGAGAAATTACAAAAAAAAAAAGTCTGTTAAGTGTGCAGGAAACTTTT